ATTTTGTTGATGTTGTAGGAGTACCTCGCCCCGGGGTGAGCTTGATTTGCTTCAAGATAAAATCTACCGGCCCTTCTGATCACCACATGGTGAACATCCAATACTTAATTTTTTAAACTATAAGTATCATATCTTCAGGTTTAGTAATTGTTTGCTATTTTTCTTTGTATGCTTGAATGTTCCTCAGCTGCGCTATTGATGATGTTTAGGCTTAGAGGCACGCCTGTCGTGCTTTTGTATGTACATTAGAACATCCTTTGGGTAATCTTGAGTTGAGTTGTGCATGTGTTATGAACGACCAAGGGACTCTAGATTATCCGAATTCTTTCCCCAACCATATGTCTTATGACTTATCCAAGGATATCTAGTCGGGTGGGAGGCTTGTAACAAATGTGATTTGTAGTAGTGTTGATTCATCTATTCCTTCGGGTGTGCCACCTTCTTACATGCCATCCCCTCCCCCTGAGCATGATTTAGGCTTTGATTATTATTTGCCTCCTTCCCTTGGGAAGTTTCTCTTGCACGTGAATCGACTGCTAGGGTTTGTTTGAACAGATTGCTTATTGACGAAGTGGTGACTATGTCAAGTGAGGATGATACATCTACTTCTTCTCTTGGGGCGCCGATGCCCTTTAGGCCGCCTGTTAGGAGGATTAGACCCTCTATGTGCTTCCCCACCGCCGCTTGGCTTAGATCTTTGTCAGATGGGACTAAGCATTTGCAAACCCAATATCATATTAAGGAACCCTTTCTCATTTCTCCCCCTAGGGGTGATAACACTGTAGATAACCCTCTGCCTGGGTGTATAGCTGTATGTAAGGATTGTTTGGATAATAGGTTGAGGTTTCTCCATTTGTTGAGGAATTGTTGATAGAATATAACTTGTGCATTACTCAGCTCGTCCCCAACTCTTGGCTGACAATAAACACCTTCATAGCAACTTATAGTATATTAGGCGTACCTAGTACCATAACCGCCTTTAGGAACACTCATAGACTTCAGGAGATCCCAGGCAATGCAGATAGCCATGGCTGGTATGCTTTTCATGATAAGGAGTTCTACTTTACCATACACACCAAGCCTTTCGAACTAAAAGAGGTCCGCCATGCCTTTCTTTTTATTTTTCATGTGGGGGGTTGGAGGATATATACCTCGAGACCATAGCGGCTTGCCTAGGTTTGGTTTGAACTACAATGTCCCTGTCATGGGTGTTGATGAAGTTGTGGGTGCTATTTGGCTGCAATCCATTAAGGAAAAAGGATCGAAAGAGAAGTGTCCAACCATGTGGATTTTGAAGGATAGACATTTCAAGAAGGATTGTTTCTTGAGTGTCGTGGGCCTGAGCCACACTTATGATAGGGGTAGGATTTGCTTTTGTTCATTTAAAAGTTTCTAACTCCTTATGTATTCCTCCCCGGGTTTTATGACTAACATGCTTACTTGCAGGTGTTGCATATAGTCAATTGAAAGACAAGCTAAAGAGGAAGATGGCTGCTGCAAATTACCGAGCTGCAAAGTTCAAAGTTGCCTTGAACAAAGGAGATATGAGCATTCCTCCTCCTCCTCCCCCGGTATGCATCTTGTTCTTTTATGGAGTTTGTTTTCATTCCCAACCGCTTGCTCGCTTTGTCTTAATAACTTGTGCTTTTCTTTTTTAGAACCCAAAGAGCATGAGGAAGCTAGCCACGACGGCCGAAGGATCCTCCCAAGCTACGACTGTTGAGATGGAGGATCAGGGATCCCTCCAAGCTTATCCTGTCGTATCTCAGCATGTTGAGAGCTATGAAGCCAGAAGAAGCAGGTCTCAGGGCAAGCGTACTCGAGTTGATGAAGGCGGGGATGAAGATGAGGTCGAAAAAGAGGATGTAGGTGAGGGCCCTGCGTATTTATTTTCGAGGTCTTTCTTGACTCATCTCCAAGCAAGTCACTGGCCCATGGTGCAAGAGTTCATGTCTCGCTTTTCCACCACGAATGATAAGGCAGAGGTTAGGAGGAACCCGGACAAGACCCTTCTTAGTGCTTTTGATGGTTACCTGAAGGTACTTGCCATTTTTTATATGTCACAATTACTTTCCCTTCCTTTGGGTAGCTTGAGTTAACTGTTTATTCTTAATGTAGGCCGGCATGACTATGGCGGTGCTGGCTAGGGAATTTTGGAGGAGCGCTCAGCAGGATGTCGAACAACTTTGGAATGAGCTTTCGGGGGCTAGAGATGAGATTCATCGGTTGAAGGAGGACCTCAACTTGGCCAAGGTGGAGTTGGATAAGGCCTGGAAGGATCTTTCTGATGTCAATAAGGCTGGAGGTGCTTGAATCAGGACCCTTGAGGCTAACGTTGATGCTGCAGCCAAGGAGAAAGACAAGGTGACTAGAGAGCTTAAGAAGAAGAGGACTGAGCTGATAAAAGTGAATCAGGAGTTGGCCGAGGCTCAGGAGAAGGTGAGCAGCCTCACCCAGACTTAGGAGGAGGTGATTGCTGCATGGAAGGCGACCCCGACTTTTGAGGAACTTAAGGCCAGCCTGGGATATGAGGCCTTTGAGGCCGGTGTTGCTGATGCTCAGAGCCATCTGGAGACGGTCTTTGAGGCCCTAGGGTTACTGGAGTTATCCTGCGGTGCAGGATAAGGTAGAAGCTCTTATTGCGGAGGCCGAAGCGGAGGCATAGAGGAGGGCTTTAGCTGAGCAGGGCCAGCCTGGCCATCTTGATGAGTAGTTGCCCCGGCTTGGCTCCTTACATTTAATTTTATTTACTCATCTTCTGTTCTTAGACTTGTAGTGTTTTTATGTTTTTGAGATGTATTTGAACATGTAACACTTGATTTACCTGCTTGATGAACATTTTATCTCTTAGCTTAGCTTTTGATATTTAATGAAATCACATGTCCTCGGCTTTTCCTGGTTGTATTTGCACCTTGTCTAACGCTTATGAAGTGTTGCCCTTTATGGGCTATTCTTGCATTTAGAGCACAATGAGGGCTTAACGAGCCCCATGTTATTGATTCACGAGAGAGGCGATATCTTGTATTTATGGAGACTCTTATCATAAACGAAAGAGAGTTTGCTTTTTTATACAAGCCGAGGGGCTAAACGAGCCCCAAGTTATAGATGTCTGATACTTAGGCTATCCGACAGTAGGGATAGGCTAGGGGCTAAAACGAGCCCCAGGCAAGTTGTACGAGAGCTGGGCTATCCCCATTCCTAAGATAAGCTGAGGGCTAAACGAGCATTAAGTTATTGAATGTGTGAGAGCTGCGCTATCCCTTTCTTGGGATAGGCTGAGGGCTAAACGAGCCTTAAGTTATTGAGGGTGTGCGAGCTGCGCCATCCCTTTCTTGAGGTAGCCTGAGGGCTAAACAAGCCCGGAGTTATTGATGACTTTGCCTATTTGAGTATAGGCTAGCATCTTGCCCTAAACATTGGTACAAACTTGTATGTTATCTCTCTTCAAGGTTTTTGTTGATTTGGGCTGCCAGCTGCTCCAAATCCCGGCGGGTGACTACTGAGGGCTAGTCATCTCTCCAACAGGCTCGCTGCAAGCTTGGGTATGATTTCCTCGACTACTTGTTTATGCTGAGCCTAGAGAATCGGAGCTTGTCTATTAGCATCTTGATACGTGCGGGGACGCCTAGCATTCACCATAGCTTTTTGTTCGTTATCCCCACAGACGGCGCCCCCTGTTTCTTGAAATAGAATACTTCCCGGAGTGTTATGTTAGGGTATGGTATCAAGGTGTCCTAGAGACTAAATCCAAGTATTGTCCAAATGTCCTTCGGCTCCGCCTAGCAAATGTATGTCTTGAGAGCTCCGCTTTGCCTAGGTATGTCCAAGAGTTCGGCCTGCAAAACAAAGAAGGTTAGCTGCCCCAGGGGTGTGACCCGGAAAAGCCCCTCCGATGCTTAAGTCAGCAAGTGTACTTTCTAGAGAGAGAGTCTTTAGAAAGAGAAAGTAGAGAGAGAAGGAGAGAGAATTGGGAATAAGTCCCCTCATTAATGAATAATGAGCGATTTACTTCTCAGGTGGCAGATTTGTACTTGAGTGGACAGATTAAGGGCAAATCCGTACTTTGCAATGACTAATGATGGGCCGGATCATGGAGGGGTATTTTCGTCATTTCAGGTCATTGGGCTTAGGACAATGGACTAGGCCCAAACATTTATTATTTGTTGAAATTTTTTTAATTTGGCCTATTTATCTAATTTGAAATACTAATTTAATTTTCTTTTCAAAAAAAAAAAACAAAAGAAATACTAATTTTATAGAAACATAAGTTTACATATATAGTGAAAAAATGATGAACTTTACGTTAGAGGCTTAATTGATCCTAATTGCTTCAAGGTCCAATGGCTCTGCCCTACTCATCTATCCTTCTCTCTTACTGAATTTTAGAGGAGCTGAGGTTGCATAAACAAATTCAAATTTACCCTCACTTATACCCTATTACTCGATATGACACGATACCGCTAATTACCAACTCTAATTGTCGTACTAATTAAATTTAATCTGGCGCAAGTTGAACACTTTATTTAAAAGTCTAATAACTTGAATTAATTTATAACCCGTGCTTAAGACACTTAATAGTAGGTTAGTGAGTAATGAGATGAGAGGAATAGAGGATTGATAATTGATTGTTAAGTAAACAATTTCTTGAAAGGAAAGAAAAACAAATTAAATTGCAGTCTCAAATTATATACAATCTTATAATATAACTAACACACCAATGTTCATATATCTCAATCAAACACTTACAAATGACAATCAATATTTGGACCTAAAACAGAGAAATCATACTTATTGACACACTAAGTATCACTAACATACCTAAAATTATTGAGAAAGTTTTGTATTATGACATAAAGGAAACTACGAAATTAAAGTCTAATTTTGTACTAAAACAATCAAACTGTTAACTAAGCTACAGTTTACTACTGCCTAGAAATGACAGCATTCGAAACCAACTATATTCTATCTTTCCCTCATTGTAATTATTCCGATCAGACGTTTCACCTTAATAGACTTTCCGGATTTCTCAGACCCATTTCATCAGCTACTTGTCGAGCATTTTCAGAAGATGCAGATGAGTTTCTGTCGTCGATATCACCCTCAGCATTTACACTACCTGTGTTATCGGCAATATCACCCTCAGGAGGATTTACAATACCTGTGTTATCGTCGATATCACCCTCAGGAGGATTTACAATACCTGTGTTATCGTCGATATCACCCTCAGGATTTTCAATACCTGTGGTATCGTCGATATCACCCTCAGGATTTTCACTACCTGCGTTATCGGTGATATCAACTTCATCAGCTGCAACAGGTGGGTGATATAATCTCAGTAGTTCCAGTCTCACACCAAGTGATACAGCTTCTTCGTCTGACAGGCCAGCTTCTGTTCTGATTACATTCATCATTTGCAGAATTGTATCAGTTTCGAAACGGAACACAAAATCATCAATCTTAACTTCAGTAGTCCTCAATGTCACAGACATTAGTTCACTGTCCAACTTTTCTCCAACAAATGCAAATTTCGTATATTCTTCGTTGAGTTCTGCAATAAAAGGCGGTCGTTCTTGTTCTCTAACCCCCTGATCACTTGTGTCAGCAGGCGATACATTCACAGATGGTACTGATGCTGCTGCAGAACCTGCTGCAGTAGTAGTACTCAGTTCAAGAAACCGATCATTCAGGAGATCAGTAACTGTAGGCCTAATTCCTACATCAGCTGAACACCTCTGAATGAACCTCTGAAGCTCTTCGTCTGTCACATTGTTTAACTCTCGTAATCTTCTGTCAACTGTTTCATCATTCAGCATCTGCAGCACACACACCCCAAAAGAGTGCATCTCAGACAGTGCAAGTTCAGCAGCACCAACAGTATCACTACTCTCTGTACTAGTCCCCGGTAAAACAAACGCCGCAAAATTCACATCCCCTATCTTAACCGTGCCTGAGTCCCCAACAACACATATGTTTTCCAACTTCAGACAACTGTGAATAACAATCCGCTCACGTTGATTGTGAAGAAATTCAAGCCCTGTTAGAATCTGTCGACACCAATTCTTGATCAATGGATCACCTTCTTTAATATCATGTTTCTTGGTGTAGTATCTCAAATTACAAGAATAAAGCTCAGTAATTATGTTACATGTCAATTTATTTTGTGGACTAACCCAAGAATGGTAGCATTTTAGTACATTTTCATGGTCTAAATTCTTCAACAAGGAATCTTCTCGAAGCAAACCAAGAGTACAATCATCTTTTAGAAATTTCTTTTTCCAAGCAATTTCTATGCCATTAATCTCATCATATCCTAAGAAAACTACTTTATATTGGCCTTGATCGATGATAATGTTGTACCTTGAGTATTGCCCTGTCGGATCTTTCTCCATAATCGTGTAATCATCTCCTTCTCGTGAACTCGAAGCCGCCATTACTAGTTAATAACAACAGCAAAACAGAACTAATGAAAGATTTGTAATAGAATAAAGTAAATTTTTGTAATAAAGATGGAATTTTTGTAGGGTTTGTAGAAAAAACAGAATATTTGAAATGGGTTGATGATGAAATGAATTATAACAATGAAATGATAGTGTAGATGTTTATTTATAATGGTAGTGTTTGGTTGTTACTTGAAAGCCAAAATATATTTAAGCCGATTGATCTAAATTTTATCCATTTGTTATAGTTAGTTAAGTCGGTTAATCATTTATCAGGATCAGGAAATCGATAATGCCCTTTCTTGATTTTTTTTTATTTTTTTTTATAAAATTTATTTATTTATTAATTTTTATAAAATTTCTTTGATTTGCCTTTTATTTAAGAAAGATTTGTTTTATTTAATTTTATTTTTTTTAAGTGACTTATTTGTTCTAAGAGAAAAAAAAATTATTATTTAACATCGTTTCAAAGTGTAAACTAGTGTGTGTCTCGGGGGATGCCCCAGATTGCTAGTTTGTACTTTGTACTTCTTTAATTTGATAATTATGTTCAATTGTTTGTATAGTTAGTGTGTGATCTGGGCGTTGCCTCGAATGTTACGGTTTTTTTACCTCATATATATTTATTTCTAATCTTGTGAAGAATAAATAACTTAAATAACCTCTAATTTGAAAGCAATATATAATGTTAATTATGTGAAATTTAAAACACTAATATAAGTTGGTTGAGATGGTAAGTGTATAACCTTTATTTGTGGGAGGTTGCGGGTTCGAATCTAATCAAACCATAATTTATTTATTCAATGAAGTTGCAAGCTTACGTGTCGCACCTACTTACTTAGGTACTACTCCTTGGTAGACCTGGCAAATGGGTCGAGTCATTTCGGGTTGGGTATCGGGTCAACACTTTGGGTCGGGTCAGTTCGGATCAGGTCAATTTTCGGGTGCAAATTTCGGGTCAAGTTCGGGTCGGGCAAACTTCGGGTCGGATCATATTCGGGTCGATGCATTGGGTTAAATTCAACTCTGTACATATATTTATTTAATTATTGACGAGAAACTCACTATATTTATTAAGGCTACTTTTTTCATGGAATATAGTAATTGTTAGACTTTTATTGACCTTGTTTTTTTTTTTGGTATTTAGATTGAGAATCAATTTCATGATGTCCTGAAACTAAGAGAGATGCTCTAACTAATTGAGTTATACCTCACTCTCTAATTGACCTTAGTTTTAATACTCTTATTATCATTGTCACTGTTCACTGTTGTAATAGTTTCTTTTTATTATTCTTATAATAATCTATAATATAATCTATGTTTTTTAAGTGCTCCATTAATTTTAACTGGACATACATTGATACATATATGCACTATGCAGGCATGCCTATGCAGGAAATTGATCAATAATAGACTTCCTATTATAATTATCAGTAATTTACATTATAGAACTTTACCAATTGAATATTACTTACACTATTACACATTACAAATTAAAAAAAAAAAAATTAAGTTAGTTTGATTGCGGTTATTTTCTATTTCGGTTTGCTCAGGTCAAATAGTTAGCTTAAATAGATTATGGTCATTTCAGGTATAAGGCAATCTTAGTTCGGGTCACTTTGGGTTTCGAGTCTATTTGGGTCAATTAATTCAAGTTAAAGGTCGGGTCACTTTGGGTATCGGGTCAACTTCAGGTCGGGTCATTTCGGGTTTCGGGTCAAGGTCGGGTCAATTCCACTTCGGGTCGGGTATGGGTCGGGTCGGGTTGATTCGGGTTTCGAGTCAATTTCGAGTCACTGTTTTCGGATTGATTTCAGATCATGGGTCGGATCATTCGGGTCGGGTCATTGGGTCTGAGTCAGGATTGCCAGGTCTACTCCTTGGTACCTAATGTTGGCCGGGTCGAAATTGAAGTAGAGGAGAACGTCAAGGTGCCGGTGTTTTGGCATTGATATAGGTTTAATAATGTAATAATGGAATTTAATTTGTCAAATTTTGATTTTTTGACTATGTTTTTGGTGACAATTTATCTTTGAACATTCCATTCGATTCTAAAGTTGGTCTCATGTTAAAACGAGTAACTTTACAGCTCATCATCTTATAGAACTAGTTTCTATTAAAGTGAACTAGATTGGAAAAATTATTTTCCTTCGAAAGTCTCCTTATGTGTAATATTTCCTCCGTCTCTTATTTTTGTCCCATTATCATTTTTTGGCTCAAACTTTGAAAACTTTGAGCGTAAATTACCGTTAATATATAAAAGATAATATAGGGATGAATAGTCTTGTTAGATTCGCCTTATTGTATATTCTATTAATATCACGTTTTAATAATTTTTACGTGTATGAAAATAAAGATCTAGACATTTTAAGACGTCTTGGAGACTGTGCACAGTCAAATGAGGCAAAAAAATAGAGACAGAGGGAGTATAAAGACTTTGTACCATGATTAATGAACTACCTAGCTTGTATTTCTCGTTAAATTAAACAAAATCATGTTCCTGCTTCTCTATGTATAGCTACCTTGTTTATCACATCATTTTACTTGCACACAATAGCCTCGCTAACTCTTTTTTTTTTTAATTAATCTATTAGCTATATTGATAGTGTCACTTTTTACCTTGAATTGAATGTTACTAGTTTAAGGCCTGTGCCATGCACGGTAAGTTTAATAAATTTTAAGAAAATTAATTATATTCAACAAATAAAATTTGATAAAACATACACATCAAATATATAGAAATTAAATTGTCATGATCTATATTAATAGGCAAAGCAAAAAAAAATTAAACAAAAATGGATTTTTTGGGCTATTCAAACTGGAGAATTTTTTCAGGGAGCCTTGCTGGTTTGATCAAGTCAAATGGTTATATTAGTAAATACTTATTTGTAAATGCTTTTTAATAAACATCAAAAATTAATCAAACAATAAGCTAAAATCTCCACTAAAACTATCAGCAAAAGTGCACAACATACACATAAATATAATAATTACAAATACTATATCACCTTTTATATCTAAAAAAATCATTTCAATGAAAATAAATACTACTCTGATCATTAAAGGCAAGAACAATCGATAATTAGGCAACACTAATGTATATTATTAAAAGTTCTGTTTATGGATTGATGTTCTACGTACATGATATATATCGTCATTATAAAAAAATGTGTTTGAAGCTATCCAATCATTGTAGTTGAATCATTTTTGTTTATTGTCTTTAAAGTTTATTTTTAGATAAAAGATATTTATCAAAATAAATATATATAAAAGGAGATGCCAGCTGTCACTATGTCCGACGTGTCTTTCAGTATGCAAATTATTTATGAATATTAGATGCAATAAATTTGTCATCTTAATCAAGTGTCTAGACAAATGATAATAATTTTTTTTGCTTTTACTAAGATATTGATTTTTTTTAATTACGTAATTTACATAAACATTAATTGATATTTTACCTTCTCTATAGCTAGGTTAGGTCCCGTGCCATGCACGGTAATTTTCAATAACTACTCTATAATTATAAACACTATATTTAATTATAAAAAAAATCTATTTAAGTTACCACTTTGTAAAATGAATTAATTATGAAAGAGTCTATTATTAGCAAAATAGATAATTTAAAATACACATATATGTATATTTATATATATTTCACTAACTAATTTATATCATTTCTTGTTTTAACAAAATGAATATCTTACAACTATGTATCTAATTCGTAAATAGAATTACTTTTTACACACTATTAATCCATTCCTTCTTACGCGATATTTATTTTTCTTCTCAATAATCAACTGGCTTAGAAAAAAATTCATATCTTTCCTAGCAAGCTTTTCAAACATAATAAAATACAAAAATATTTAAAAAAAAAAATCCTTGTTATTGTAAAAATGGTAAGAGTAGTATATACCACTATGTATGTCACAAATTATGTTAAAAATTTGATTTTCATTTTTGTAACTTTAGCTTATGGTATCAATATATATAGTGGAAGGATACATTAAATCTTTTTAATCTTCTATTTATATACTTCGTATAAGATTTGTTTCCTAAATAGTTTTTTTTTTTTACACACCAAAAAATGACACGTGTCATTGCTAGTGTATCTTTCAGTATATAGTTATTGATTAGAAAATTGATATAATTGTCAAACATCATTTACTTTATAGTTATACCATACTCTATAAATCCTTAATTTGTGATAATATATACGTAGTAGTAAAATTTCAGAAATAAAATTGTAATTAATTTGAATGTATAGTTTTATTTAAATTGAAATAAAATATAGCTAGAGGTATTTTAAAAAAATTTAAGTGATGTTTTAAAGTACATAATATCTCTAACATCAATTATATAAATAAATTTTGGGAAATTCTACATTATAACTCTCTACTTTTGCGTTTTCTACGTTGTGCCCCATCTTTTTAAAAGTTACACATTGTAACCCTCGGGTTTAATTAATAACCATACGGTGACCTTGCCGTTATCCCACCGTTAACAAATTCCATTAGGTTGTTTTAATCATCGTTAGTGGAGCCCACTCTCCACTACTTAATTTTTTGTATTGATTTACGTGATGAAAATTGTTTTGTTAAAGGCTTTAGGGGCCATTTTAGCTCTTTTGGATCTAAAGTGAGCTTAGATTTGACAAAAAAAAATAACGTAAACGTCTCGTTTTGCACATTAAAAATGTCTCGATCCTTCAACCTTTTGTTGTTTTCTCTCTCCTCCTTCAACCTTCAATTTCAATGGTGGAAAGTACACTTTTTCACCATATGACATCGAACAAGTCGAAAACAATGGAGGGAGAAAAGCTTACCTACCCTTTAAGATTAATCATGTTCGTTATTTTCACTTTGTTATTTGGATGGTGCGAAGTCGAATTTAATGGAGGAAGGAAAACTCAGCTACCCCTTTAGGGTTAACCATGCCATTAAAATCTCCTTTTGTTATTAGGGTTTTCGTTTAATTTTGCAGACAAAACCGGCAAAAATGGAGTCGAACGGACTTGAAAGAGAAGGTTAAAGTAGGCAAAGATTGGAGGGAGAAGATTAAGGTGGTTGGGAAGAAAAAATATGAACAAGAGGAAGAAGATGAACATGAAGAAGAAGGTGGGAGGAAGAAGATGATGAATAGTAGGAAACGGTGAGTTAACGGTGTTAACTTAAAAAATCTGTCAAACTTGTCATAGTTGCCCACAAACAGTAAAAATATATATTTTTTTTAATAAAAAACACAATTTTCAATGCAACTTATTTACGAAAATGCCATTTGATAAACATAATTTGTTTATCAAGGTTATAAAATGGTACTTGCTCGAAAAATTATGAACACCAAATAAAAAGGAATATATTTGTTATAAAGATAATATAAAAGATTTGGAATAATATTATTATAGAATCAAATATTAACAAAAAAAAAAAAGGTTAAAAAGGGAAGGAGAGTTTTGGAGCGAAAAACATCAAAATGTGACACGTGTCACTCCCGATGTCTGTTTTAGTATTAAGTTATTGATTACTAGTGTTATTATTTGTAAAATTGTAAATAAGCAGGGTTCTTGCTGGTCCAACACAATCAAAAGTTTATATTTTTGTCATTCATATACTTGATCTAAAAGATACAATAATCTAGACCTTCTTTATGAAAACCTAAAGCAGAATTTATATAACCAATATGTTGTGTAGAGTGCTCCGAGTGTCAACTAGCCTAGTTGTAACACTTTTGGGGAAAAACTTCATAACGTGGGATAAAGTTCTGTTTGCATACACTAAAAAATACAATGTGCAAAAAAAAGAAAAAAAAAAAGAAAAAAAAAAAAAAGAGCAATATTTTCATAGAATTTCATACAAATTAAGGTTAGTATGGCAAGGCATTACCATGTATAAGATGTACCAAAGAGGTATAGGTACCAAATATTGCAATCAATATACTAAACACTATTATCGCGATGATTATAGAACGCTCTCTTCCAACGCTAGAACTTGAAATCTTCAAGAAGCACAAGCATGGAATTGTAATCGAAGCAGTAATGCTTAAAAATGCTCCAACCAAAGAAATAAGATGTCCAAAGAAAGGAACAGTCAATGCTATGATAACTTGACTAGCAACCAGAGCTGTTCGGATGAGAATTTTGAAGGATCTCTTTTTGTGGTAATTCGGAAACCAGCTCTCAGTAGCACTTGCAACTGGTTCTAACATCAGTGCATATTTTGAAAGTGGACTGACCAATGTGGTATATATTGCCACTTTTGAGCTCAGTTTCCCAATCGGAAGGTTCAGAGTTATTTCTGCATCCAATTTTGAACCAAACATCAGATAGCCCAATATTGCGATTGAAGCATAACTGATAGTCATGCAGACAAAGCATAGTAATAGTACCTGCAGAAATATGGATCATATGTAGTAAGTATAGGGAAGATAGCTAGATAAACTTATGAAAGCAAGCAAGATGTATACTAATATTGATTGGATTATTACAATATTAGTATACATCTGAACCTGTAGAAAAACTTATCTGAACCTGAATTACTCGAATCAACCATACCTCAAACTTAAAATATATCCTATCCACGCAAATCTAAAACAGAACCAAATGACAACCGAAAATATGACTCAAACAAAACCAAATTTGAATGACTTCTAGCTAGATGGGAAACTTGACCTTAGAGAAGTTGGGTCTTTTCTTCATGGAGTGGTAAAGGGTTGGGAAAATAGGATGAGCACAATAACAGAAGCCGTACAAGCTTACAGCCGTAGGGATCCCTGACCAGTTCAGAAGCTCCCCTTTGTTGTGGAATCCAACACCATCAAATGCGCCAACCCATACAACTGATACAATGATCACAACAGAAGCTAGAACACCAGTAGCAGAGATGTAAGAGAGAACACTGATGTTACTTAACCAAACAGAAGGAGTAATAAGAAGTGCAACAATCAATACAAAGCTTTTTCTTCCTCCAACTTCTAGCCCAAAGGCGCTGAAGTTCATTTCTGGAAACAGATTATGTAAATTGTCTCCTTCAATAATCAAGAAACCTGTTACAACCAAGTACAGCTCTGCACACATAAACACTGATACAACTGTTCTTCCAATATTCCCAAATGCGCGTTCTCCTATGTCAGGGAAAGATGTGATACTTGGATCTACTTCCATGCATCGTTTGATCAGCAAACCGGCATAAAAGGCTGCCAGGGCAATGGTGAAAAGTAATGTCAAGCTCAGCCAACCCCCTGATGCTAGAGCAAATGGTACTGACAGTATTCCAACTCCTGTTCAAATGGTCTTGAAATTAAGTTATCAGAGTAAAAAATAACCATGTACAAGTGTAAGAAAATGAAAGACAATATCTGGGTTATTTACAGATGAACAACGAACATCCTTTTCTTAGTTTGTAATTGTTGAAGCAGTGAACGATATACAGATGAACAACAAACAGAGCACATATAAAGGCTGTACATAGCCAGAACGGATATTGCAATCCTAAAACTTTCACCTTTAAACAGAAAACATTAGCATAAAATGCAATAACATAAACTATAAAACAAGCCTAGTTGTATAAGAGGAGAATACTATTTTAGGTGTCTGAATATATCTTAAACATACAATCACTCTACATTATAAATTATAAATTTCCTGCTGTTACAATACACTAAGAAATTCTATGTCTACAATAGTACTTACGATATTTTGAAACAAGATCATAGGAGATTCTGTGATTCTTAAGGATTGTAACACTCAAGTTTGTCAAAATGTACTTGATGGAAGAATAGACTTAAATTGAGCTATAGTTCTGTGATGAATTTTATTAGGAGTATCAAATGTAACATACACATGCATCACTAATCCCCTGGCCTCTAGAAAGTATTGTTACATTACCAGTGTAAGTTCCACTACAATCAATAAAAAGGAAGAACACTACTACTACATTATTGTTGCCTTTAATCTAATCTCTCCGCTCAGGCAGTTCAATGATCATATGAGTCACATTGTCACGTTGTCTCAATCTCTCATACTAAAATTTCACCCTTGCCAATAAGTGACCATAGTACCCAAATCTTTCATAATTGTTACTTAACATGATCATACATAATAACTCTCTCCAACACTTCTATCATATTCATATCCCAACAACTTTGTAAAGCAAAGATTTAACAAAGCCATCATAATTCATAATTATAGACAGAATTTGATCACTTATTTTAAGTACTCCCCGCAAAGTTTTAACCAGTTAAGCTAGTTGACATCAATTCTTTTCCGTGACTAATAAATAAAGAAAGTACTAGTATTATATAGTACTCATAGACAAAATCTGTTGCAACTAGTAAAGTATTGGAAAATCAATGAGCTAAGCTATAAAAAAGTTGACTTAATTTATATTCAATCACCCTTATCGAAGGATCTCACTTCTTGAGTAATAGAAAGAGTATCTCCTAGGATAAATTAATTTAAATTCTAAAGTTCTGTGCCAAGTAATTAAATGACAATTTTTATGGGACAGTACAACTGATTTGAAATATTTATGATCAATCACCAAATGTGTATATTCTATAGTGCAAATTACATTGTCCCATCTGCAGTTTTAAGACCACCACTTTATTATTTAAGGACAAAATGATGCATTCAACGTGTCACACTCATAGTTTATGATAAGGTCATTCTCATCATTTATTTGTTTATTGTTTGTTTTATTTTTTCATCTTTATTTTACTTCAATTTTCTTTTTCTTTTTTTTTGTTTGACTGTAAAATTTCAACTTATTCTATGAAGGGTACAGCATCATAGATTGGGGGATGACAAGTGGGGTGATATAACCATGTACCACACCACCTGTCTAAGCTCTAATCTCGAGGAGGTAAGAGTCCACGACTGGTCTGTACACTCGAAAGAACATAAAGACTAAACTTAAAAATCATGGATAATCATCAACGAACATTAACTTGAAAAGAATGTAAGGGATAAAACAAAAGAAAATAAACTTTAAGGCTTGCCCCAGTTTCTCACATGACATTTTCGTAAATAAACTAATAACTTTATTCAATCACCATTAATTGTAGAGCCCACAATAATAAAAAAATTGTTAATTTATTTACGAAAATGTCATTGTGAGAAATAAAAATTGTGAGAAACTTGTATTTACCCCCTCAGACGCTTTACTTTGTAGAATCGGATAAATCTATCTACATCATATACACTCGGATGTACTAGCATTGCATTAATCAATGATATGCAATTTGGCCATATATGAGTAAAATGACTTGTTATCTTATTATTAAAAGTGGCAATATCCATTCCCTAGCCACTTGTATGGATTGTATTCAGAAAACTACTGTTCCGATCACGGGTTCCATACTGACTTTAAATTTGTTTTAGGACCATTCACTACTTGTGAATGGTACGTGCCCTTAAGAACCTAAGAGGGTGTAATTTTTTTTACAACCGTGTATAACATAAACACCTTCTATCTTTCGGATCTCATATAATTGAGTGCGATCATATCTATGTCTTCTATTACAGCGAAAATGACACAAATCATGATGATTAGATTCATTAATCATTTAGCAATATGAAATTGCACCCTTTGATCATCTTTATTACACTCAATAATAACAACAATTACAATAAAAAAAAAAAAAAAAAAAAAAAATCTATCACACATATACAACATCGTAAAAATGATTCAATTCAATTCACAAATGCAAATAAATCATAATAAAAGAGAATTAAAACCTGAAAGGGCGTTAAGGCCATTGAAGAGCGTCTTCGCGAACGAAGCATCACCTTCTTGAACAAACTTTACGTTAATATCATCTTGCAAATCATTCTCCAAAAGAGGTTGCCTAACGTAAACACTCGCACTTGATTCACCTTCACCTTCCATCACTCTTGGAGATTTTTTATTTATTTAATTTTAATTTTTTTAGTATAAAAGAAAACAATGATTTGAGTATTTTTATATTAACCTTGAAAAACAAAATACATAAATAGTGGCAGTGAGAAATTAAAGACCTAGAAGATGGAAACAAAAGAAAAGAAAATGAAGATATGAATTTATTTATGTAACTATAAAGTGGAGGAGAGAATGGAGCTTTAATGTTGGTGTTATTTTACTCAAGCTAACATTTGAAAAGGCTAGGATTTCACGGATGTATGTGTACAATTTTTTGTGTATATCATAGCCACATATCACTATTTAGCGTGGCAGTCATTTGTTGATTTCATGGCCTATAAATAGAAGTTAATTAATTATATTATTTTTTTTATATTGAACTTTACTTTTACCTATAAAAGATTATATAAAGAATTAATGCTAGATATGACTAAAGATGAACGTGATAAGCGTGGATTATGTCGTTTGTGCAAAATATATTAGGGTGTTCACACAGTCATATATCTAGTCATGTGATTTGATATCAAGTTGGATTATATTGGATTGTATTTAAGTATAAAGTGATTTCCAGAGTGAGAGAAATAACTCAGGTGGTTAAAGTTTTTTTTTTTTTTTTTTTATTTTTTTTTTTTTAAGGGATCTCACCTGTCCTTGTGTCTCTTGTTAGGATAACTAGGTTGTAGTTAATTTTTCATAGATACACCTTCGCTCCCTAAAATATAATTAGAGTGTACATAAATTCAAGAATATATGTGCACTTACATAATGTTTTACTAGAAATATATGCAAGTGATGTACTTCTCATATTCTTTAAAATTTATGTATACCAGCTATTTTAAAATAATCGGTTAAATTAAGGGCATTATATTATATATAGAATACATTTTAGCTGAATATCATATCTACTTCATCTCTTAACTTATAATGTACCATATGCCTATTAAAATGTCAGCTCACAAAATAGATATTCATGTGATCTACAGATTAAGCAATTGGATTAATTTAAGTGTGACCACAGAAATTGACCAATTGCAGATTTGTACGACTTACCAGTCCAACCAATTTTTAAGCATAGATTTTGAATTTGAGTTATTTTAATTATTTTGCCTGGCACTTATGCATTATACGTTAATAAAATTACTAACTCCGTTAAATATTAGTTGCAACTTTGAGCTCTAGGTTCTAAGTCAAAATTTGATTATGATGATTATTGGATAAAAGAGTATATGATTAGGGATGAGAGGAAAAAAAATTGATTAAATAACCACCCAAGCCACCCACCAGTCCACCACCACCGACACCTCCTAAACCCAGATCACCCACCACCACCCATCATTGACATCCCCAAACCCATACCGACACCCTCATAAACCCACCATCACCGAAAACTAAACCATCGCTGAAACCCCCAGGCCACCACCATTGCCGAAACCTACCAGTCCACCACCATCGTCGAAACCCAAACCAGCGCCGTCGACATTGAAGGTGGTGTTTCAGATGATTTCTTAGAAGATGAATGGATGATGAATGATTGGTTGAATTAAGTTTTTTTTTTTTTTTTTAGTGTTGGTTAGTAAAATTGGGTGAGAATAATTATGTTACATAACTTAAATTATTAATTAAATGAATTGTGATTAAGTTATCTTATTGTGTTTATAACCGTATTAGTAAAGGTATTTTTGTAATTGCATCAAAAATTTACCAAAAATGGAAAGAAATGAAAAGTTGCAATTAATGTAAAACATCCTAGAATGATGAAAGTTGCAACTAATATTTAACGGAAGTAGTACATGTGTTCATAATTTTTAATCATTTCTTACCATATAATGAGGCACTTTGAAATTTATGACCACAAAATACCATTATAGGAAATGGACCTAACCGAACCAATTCATAGTTACAACGGGTATCCCATCGTGCCACAAAATAAGCTACCGTATTACACGAATGTTTAGTGTGCTTAAAAGATCAAAAATTAGATAATAAGCTATCATTCCTAATATCATCATAAACTAGGAGGACCGTTGATACTTCACTCTTCAAATCCTGCACAGTGCACAGCAGCCACCACATTCAAGGAATCACTCTCCACTTCTATCGAGCTATAGCCAAGCCAAGCCTCCACGCCAACTGGATACCATATCGCATCGCCATTGCTTCAGCCACTTCAGGTGTTGTGTAGTGTGCTTTCTTTATGGCTGCAACAACAATCACCTCATCAACATTTCTAAATCCAAAGCCTAAACCCACCTGTGCACCTTCCATGACATGAGCATCCACGTTGAATTTAATGCTTCCCACAGCAGACGTCTTCTAACCCAAAGCTAAAGGTGCTACACGAATTGAAGGGGGGAGCAGTACTTTCTCCGCGTAAGAATTATAGTCCTGCACCAACTTAGAGAACCCCGCAGCCAGCATCACGCTATTTGGCCTTTCCTCTTGATACAAAACCGTGTTTCTACCCTTCCACGCTGCCAACATTAGAGCTTCCATAGCACACACCATGTTTCGGGTTTTTTTTATATTCCCTCGAGATACAGGTCTTCAATTGATTCAGACAGCCGCAGACACCTGTAAAACCACGAATATTCCAGTATCGGAATATTTGCCTCCAACGGTCAAGTTAGTAACCGGAAAACGAAGGGTTATAAAGAGAGAAAGTAGAGAAAAGTTAGAGCACTTTATATGCCTTGAATGATATGTCTTAATCCATCCCTCCCATCATTAATGACTAGGGTATTTATAGGGGTGGGAAAGTGTGCATGCTAGGGTTTGGAGTCCTAGAATGGGGAGCAATGATTGGCGGCGCAATCAGGTGAGGACATGTGTCCTTTGGGGGTGTCGTTTTGGCGCTTTTCTCGGGAATTGAGCCTCCTGATGTAATGGAGGCCTTTTCACTATTCAGGTATTTTGTGTTGCCACATGTCATCTTCCCATTGGGCCACGTGTCACCATGGGATTGGACCACGTGACGGAGAATTTTTTACCTTAAACATTTGCCCCTTATCGGGGGTGGCTAGTACCATATGTGTCGCCTCCTCTGAATTTTCATCTGTACGCTGTTGTTCGAGCACTGGACTATTGGGTAATCAGCTGAAAAGAGCGGACTCTACCATCCGTCTGTTTTGGGAAGCACCTTTGTTTATTTATTTCCGGGCTGGTCGCCTTAGGCTGTTCACTTTAAATCTAATAGAGCATAAGCCTGAAATCAGTCAGACGGAAGATGCGTCCTGACATCAGGTGAGATACTTGTCTTCCTTATTTTTCGGGCCAACGGTTTTAATTTGTTGACCTGGCCGTTTCTTTTGACGGGCCGTTGTAATAATCGTACGTCTTCTCCGCCTATTCGGACGGAAAGGTTAAATAACCGTTCGACTTCTAGGCTTAATTTTTTGAAAAGGAGACATTTGGTCTCTTGGATGGGAAAAGTGGTTTTACCATTCAACCCCCATATATTGGCCTATAAATAGAACTTTTTTTACTTCATAAAAACACTTTAGATTTTTGTGTTTTGTAGAGAGAAGTCAGAGCTTCTAGAGAGAGAAATTTGTGTTCTTCACCATCTTCGAGAGCTCCACCGTGTGGTTGAAGATTTCGTCCGTTAATTTGAGTTTTCCGGTCAAATTCTTGGTGTTGGTGATTTGACCACTCAAGATCTCCAAATTCCACATTTTTAAAGTTTTCTACTCGTACAAAGGTAACCGCCTGTTTTTCTTTACTCCTTTCATTTCTTTCAGACATATACTTGTTTTATTTTTAAACACGAACTGCCACAAAACTCGTATTCGTCCGTCTCTTCTCATGAGGTCAGTCGTTCGCCTAGGACTGAGGAGTTTAGAGTGGATGGGGCCGACTCCTCTTCAATTTGGAGCGGCTCTATTGTTAGTGCATTCCAACTCACCCCCACCCATTCTTCTCTGTCCCTACAGTCGAATATGGCAATCACAAGGGAAAAATACGACCAAAATGTGGCGAGGAATGCGGACGACACTCCAGTTGATCCCCTTGTTCCTACACGTCTGGATGATTCAGATGTAAATTGAGCGGGAGTGCCTGCTCGGTGGTGGAGGTAACTGCCTCCTCGTCCGAGTGCCATTATGTCCTTAGGAACCCTTCCTCTTTGTCTTCAGCTAGAAAAGCTAGTGATGGGGAGGTTAGAGCGTCCGTAAAAAATCCTAGACAACGTTCTTCACAGCGTATTAGCTCAGCTAGGCCGTCCATGCAGCATTCTTCTAGAAGGCCTCCTTTTATAATTTGGGCGGACTCTAGGTCTAGCAAGGAAAGAATGGATGCCTAGAATCCTAGACAACGCGCAACCTAAAACACCAGCTCGGACAGACCGACTAAGCTGCTTGTCTCTCACAAGCCTTCTTCTAATATTCGGGCAAACATTGCTGTCAATGCGGCCGCCCGAAACATCGATGGAGGGTCTTCCCTTCATATAAGTTCGACAACTGCGGTTGAGCACTGTTCTCAGAGTGGTCCTCCTTCGGGAATTCAAGCTGATCTCGAGACAAGAAAGAGAGAAAAGGGGAAAAGACTCTTAGTACCAGAGGCATTGTGCTTGCTGAGCCTGGCCAAGGCTCCAAGAAGAGCAGCTCGGCAGAGGCTGCGGAGCTGGACACTGGTCAATCCTCCGAGTTTTTCTCGATAAGGAACCCCAAGCCAAGAGCTGCCAAGCAGACTGATGAGGCCGGGCATCCGGACGCTGATCAAGCGGCCAAGGAATCTAATGTGGTCAACCTCAATGACCCGTACGCCTTCTTCGTCGGCGATGTAGCCCTCGGCTTTCTACACACAAATTTTGAGGACTTCAAAGAGTTCCTCATGCTTGGAAGAGGCTAGGAGGGCGTTCTAACTCGGTGGCCGCCTAGGAGGGCGAGAGGCCCAGGAGTAAGAGCTTCAGCGTTTACCACGCTACTTTGGAGATGGGCCTCCGCCTGCCCTTGCATACGTTCATCTAGGAGCTGCTGGACGAATATGATATTGCCATCTTTCAACTGGTGTCGAACAGTTGGGCCAACGTTTTCGGCTACTTGGTGGCCTGCTTTAGGAATGGCTTCACGCCACTCTTTCCTGTCTTCTGCGAGATCCACTCTATGGTGCGGATGAACGCTAAGATGATCAGTTGGTTAATCCAGAACACCCGCCAAGATTATATGGTGCTCATGCAAATACCGTCCAAATGGCGCGATTGAAAGCATCACTTCTACCGCATCAAGAGTAGGGACATAGACTTTAATTTGCTGATGAACCGCTTTAATGCCGAGCCTCTTCAGCTCGGACGAGGGGATATCAAGCCCACCAAGCCGCCGATTCACCCTGACCATGAGTTCCAACTTGATTACTTCAAGGTTAAGAGGGTGAATAAAAATGGGAAGCTTGTGTCCGTGCCTTCAAAC